TTTTGTTCATTGATTTGCATTTACTTTGTGCAGTTTTCTCCCACCAGGAGATATGAAAGGGAGCGATACCAAAACCACAGAGTATTATCACACTGACCAAACCTACTTTGAATATTACAAGCAGTTATCTTAGAACCTGGATCTCTCTGCACAAAAGTAAACCACAGTGACACAAGTTTTGACCACAGCGGTTAAGTGTGGATGGTTTCTAAAGCCTCTGTTTAGGGACAGGCTTGCATCATTAAGCAGCACATTAAGGCTGCTGCTGAGCGGATGTGAAACTCATCTGTGGGGCCACTGAGTCCTCGTTTACTTTCTCACATCATTTGATGTGTAATTCTGAAGTCATCAGCGTCTAATCCTGAGTCATCAGAGTCGACTCAGATTTAGAAAAATGACTGTGGAGTAGGAATAAGATAACACAATATAGTAAAGCCTTAATTATACCAGTAAGACTTTCTAATAATGTTTGCTTTAAAAAATAAAGAAATGGATTTATGAATGATTAATAAATCCCCTTTATTTCACAGGTCTGTAATTTCAGATTTATTTGAAAATACCTTCCAGGATTTATATAATTTGGGACTACTTTCAGTGAAATTTGACACAAAGAGGGTTCAACTGATGCACCTCCAATAAATTTATTCTAGATATTTGTTAGAATAAGTTAACCATGCAACATTTTAGTAATAAGCAAATAACAATTATTATTATTTACTTGGGTTTAATAGTATTAAACCCCTTAAAGCTGTAGTTACTACTTCTTTTCTTTTCTTTCTTTTTACCAGGAAAGCACTGATGTGTCTTCAATAATTAATCTAAAAATGTTCTGGACCATCATCACATTAATTTCTGTTTTGCATTATTTCTTATTTTTGATTCCACACAAACCACTAACTAAAGATTTACTTACATTTACGTCTGCAGCTCTGCTGCCACAGCGTAAAAGAAATGCTCGACAACGACGAATGTCTGTTTCACTGTCAAACTGCAGATAAATAAGTTGCTGGTAAAGGGTCCTGAGTTTTTAGCGTACAGTTCTTCTAAATCTTTTAAAAGAGCTGCGTGCTGCAAAATGTCGAATGAAACCAACTGAAAATATTCCTTATTAAAGACTTTGATTTTAAAGACCGCTCATCCGAGTCGTCTCAAAAGTTGAGATTGAAAATCGGTTTAGAAAGATCTTAAAGTGGCCTTGTGACGGCATTGCATTAGAAAAATAATGTCATTATATGTTTCTAATGGAACTGAAAAGGCAAACAAAGTGTGTCTGAGGTGATGATGTCTGTAAACATCCATGTTAAGCTTCTTCTTGAAGAAACTCCGTTGATCGGAGAGGGATGTCACGCAGCCGACACCACCAACAACAGCAGCTATTGTCCAGACTTCATAGATGTGTGTTTTTATCTCTCTGGAATAAATACTTTTGCTCCTCTATCTTTCTGGAAACACAAGCAGAGCTGCTGAGCTCGGCAGTTTCACTCTGCAATGACACAAAAGAAGCACTGAATTGTCCTCGCTGGCAGCCAATGAGCTCAAAGCAGCGGTGGTTCAGTGTCTACCGGCAGCCGGCCGGGGCCAGTTTCCAGTCGGACTCCCGCGGGTGTTGGGGGGCGAAAAGAATTTTCTAATCCATCACCATTGTACCAATTGTCTATAAAAATTAATGTGCGAGTGAAGCTCTGCCTTCACATGAGGGCTATCAAATTCCAAATCACAGTTCATGAGTATAAACAAAGAAATGAATGACTCTGAAGATCTCAAGGTAACAACTCCACGTCTACCTTTTTAACTTTAATGTTATTTGTAGCGATGTGCTGTGGGTGCATACAGCAGTTCTGCCTTTGCTAGATGGATTCTTGTACTTAACTTGAAGTCTTTTTTTATTCAGTAACCTTAGAGATTTGCTTTCTTACACTCTTCGGTGACGTTCCTCATACACACTTGACCATCTCTTACCATTCTTGTGATAGACCCATTGTGTGTTTTCCAGGAGGCCCAGACTAGAAGCAAAGACCAAATAGATGGCACAGGGATGAGCCTTGGCAACAAGAAGGGGGTGAGGGTGACTGGGAAATATGCGCCTCCGGTGGATTGGACCAGCAGAGGAGGAGGTCCATCCATCATCCACTCTCCCACCAACACCCTGATACCTCCAGACACCCCTACGATTATCTCCATTGGCCCTTTGCCTCACAGACCCCCAGAGCCTGTCCATGGTCCCAGGATGGATGACCCTGCCACTGGTGAGGACTGGACGAGCGAGGCATCTTCTCAGACCAGAGCGTCCTACGGGGAGATGGGTGTCCCCAGGCAGACCATGGAAGAGCTGAAGACCATCCTGAGGGACAGTCCTCTGCTCAGCATCCGGGGAAGAGATGATGGGAAACCAGGGAGTCCGTATACGTACCTCCACGGGACCAACAGCAGCAGTGGTGGAAAGTCAGACGGACGGCAGGACGATGGAAACCCTCACAGGGCGTTCAGCACCTTCAAACCTCACTCTGATGCTTCCAGAAGGGGGCCCAGGTCCAGTGACAGCACATCCATTCAGCCGCCATCCACCATGGATTCATCCAGCTCATTCAGGTCCCACACCAACACAAATAGGCAGCCTGGAGTCCGGACACACGCATATGCAAGCAGCAGCTCCTGGGGAGAGACTTCATCTCCTCATTCAGGTTGGTTAAAAGACACATTTATCTTTGATAGAAAAGAAGAAACATCTGTGATTTGTGTGACTTGACTTGGTTCCAACCATCCTTTCAGCTGGATAATGTTTTTTTTTCTCCAACGTATCTTGAAATTTAAACATAGGCATCATATAATGTTTTCTTTCATTTTTTTTCCCATATTTTAAAGAGCTTACCTGATTTGAAACCCTCTGTTAGTACTATTAGTATGAGGGTATTGATCCCCAGCAGGAGTATCTGCTTTGGGCTAATCTTTAAAAACTCATTCATCATTATTTCTACATTTAGAACAATTTTAGTTTAATATCTGTTTTGAGGTTGGTTTTCAGTGAGTTTCTCTGCCCTCAGTAAATATCAGTGTAAATATCAGCTTGTCATCGGTCTCTATGACAGTGTTTCAAACCTACTTTTGTCATTTCTGTATTGTAATTTCTTTTTACTAATTGGTCGACACAGACCGGTGTATACTAACATATCGCCAATAGGCATGTTTCCCCCCCCCTGAATAATATCCTTTGACCTTGGTTTGACTGGAGCACTGAGTTTAAGAAAACAGCTGTCAAACTTTTTTTTCACAGACAACGAAAACGAGACCGTTGAGATCTCGGGAAACCAGAGGTTTATTGCCGACATGGAACAGATCAAACAGCAGATCGCCCGTGAAAACATCAACTTTGTCCGGTTTGAGGCGACTGACCTCCATGGGGTGTCCAGATCCAAGACTGTGCCTGTCCGCTTCTTTCATGTAATGAACTCTATCTATCTATCTATCTATCTATCTATCTATCTATCTATCTATCTATCTATCTATCTATCTATCTAGATAGGCTAGCTCCTCTGCTTCCAGTCTTTATGCTAAGCTAACAGACGCGATTGTGGTTTCAATGTCTATAAAACTTTATGAAAAACAGTGAATAAGAGTGTTTATTGTAAATGTTGCGTTGACAGGAGAAAGCAGTCTATGGAGTACCAATGCCAAGAAGCTACTTGGAGCTGACCCTAAGCCCTAAGAGCAATGAAGTGGACCACGGCAACACTGCCAACTTCAGCAGCGATGTCCTTCTGATCCCTGACCTCTCGACCTTTCGGGTTCTGCCTTGGGCTGAGCAGACTGCACGGGTCATCTGCGACCCCTGCACTGTGACAGGAAGCCCCCTTCGCACGTCACCTCGCCTCATCGCCAAGCAGCTCCTCGGCCAGCTTCAAACCCTCGGATTCTCTCTGCACTCGTCCTTCACTTACGAATGCTGCGTCCTGGGAGCGCCTGATCGGATCGGACCAAAGACGCTCCTGTTCCCTGCCACCACCCTGCTTAGCAACCATGACCTGCCTTTCTTCCAGCAGCTGGTGGACAGCATGTACTGCATGGGCGCTGATATTGACAGCATTGCCTCTGCAAGTGGCCCCGGCCAGATGGAGATCAACCTGAGGCCGGAGTTTGGGATTGCAGCTGCTGATAGTGCCTTCACCTTCCGCACTGGGATCAAAGAAATGGCTCGTAAGCACAGCTACATCGCCAGCTTTTTCACTGATGATGGTCTGTACAATGCTGGCGTGCTCTCCCACAGCCTGTGGGATGCTAACGGCCGACGCAGCCTCTTCCACACGGGAGAGAAGGCAGGCGAGCTGTCTGAGATTGGCAGGAAATGGCTGGCCGGCCTCCTCACCCACTCTGCTGCCCTGAGCTGCCTGATGTCACCCGGCCTGGGCTGCCGGAGCCACATCGCCAAGTCAGTCAAAGACCCAAAACGGATGCTGTACGCCAGCTACGGCAGCAACGATAACAGCAGCTCCTTCAACATCAAGTGCCACGGTGGGAGGGAGACCCACATTGACAACAAGCTGGGCTCAGCCATGGCCAACCCTTACGTTGTACTTGCTGCCACGGTGGCCGCGGGACTGGACGGTATCAAACGAAACCTGAACTTCGAGAGCAGTCTGAACAAAGCCCCCAGTCAGCAGAGGGAGTTCTCCATTCCTGTGAAGCTCGACGATGCTCTGGAGGCGTTGGCGGACGACCACGTCATGCGCAGCACCCTCGGAGAGCCGTTTGTTCAGTATTTCATCGCCATGAAAAAGTTTGAGATTGAGACCCAGGAACTGGATGATGAGAGGAACAAGTGTCTGGAGTACTTCATCTAGAAAGCCTCATGTTGTTGAAACACTCTGCCTCCTGCCACGCCAATAAAAGCATGAAAAACAGCTGCTTGAATGTAAAAGTTTTTATTTTATACAAAAAGTTTACGCCGTATTAATATTATATGGATTGTAGATATTTTTCAGAGTCATTTCAAAATAAAGGAAGAACTACACCCCCGATGTGATGTGCGGTTTTCATTCTTTCTCCTGATCTGCTGTCGCTACTGTGAAGAGTGTATTAGCACTACATTACTAACCAGTATAACAGGGGAATAGCATTGCACACCTATTTTAGCGCTGAATAGGTGTGCTAACATATGCTTTAAGCCTGCTCAAAAGTTCTCTCCCAATTTACTATCCATGAGTGAGTTTTCTACTTACGTGTAATGAGCATGACAGCCTCTTGAGGTCGCTAGCTTGGCTGTAATTTGCTCCAGAAGTTTATGTTTGACATCTATAATCACACACACACACACACACACACACACACACACTGATGCTGGACTCTTAGTTCTCCCTGTTGCTGGAGAGAGTTTTATGACTTTATGTTATTACTGTACTTTTGGGCTTGTTGTCATGCTGCATTATTTACGGTAGATAAGAATCTAAAGATCTAATAGTCCCAAAACTTTTGCACATTACTAAATACTGTAAATTCTGACTTACCCATAACCCACAGTTACTATTCTAACAGGTAGTTTCAGTTTTATGTAGTGTACCCCGAAGGACTGCAGTCACACCAACACAACGGAGGAAATTTAAATTTTGCTGTTGTTGCAACCTGCATTAAAATGACTTAATTATTCTCTCCAGAAGCAATGTCCTACTTACGCTGAATAATCACCGGTCTCCTTTTTTAAATGAATTATTTCTTCAAATTAGGTCCAATGAAAACTACATACAGTGGTGTCACAGGGACTTTGTGACTCCTGACTTGGAGATTCTCCCGTTGGTCTCACTGAAGTCTTGGTTTCAAGGCTACACTTACCTTTAGTCAGTGTTGATGCACGATATGTTCTGTTAAAGATTTGGATTTTGCTGTATTGCAGCCATATCCTTCAAACATCCATATCTTCCCTTGGGAAGGGCGGACCACGACTGTCAAACTCATCAAAAAACAACAAGGACAAAATTTACATCAACTGTACAAAAAACATCTATTTTACATATTATATGAAACAATGGTACATTAAGTGATAAGCCTGGTAATATATATGCTTTATGTTTTTGCTGACAAAATTCACAAAAACAGCAAAACCAACAATGTGCAAGTCTGTACTTTCTGGCTTCCCACATTGTAGAGGATGAAGAAATAGAAATACAACTGCTCAAAAAATAAATAAAGGGAACACCTAAACAACACGATGTAACTCCAAGTCAGTCACACTTCTGTGGAATCAACCTGTCCAGGTATTAGGCAGCACTGATGGTGAATCAGTTCCACCTGCTGTTGTTCAAATGGAGCAGACAGCAGGTGGAGATGAGAGGCAGGTAGCAGGACAACCCTATAAAGGAGAGGTTCTGCAGGTGGTGACCACAGTCCATGTCTCTGTTCTCGTCCTTTCTGGCTGATGTTTTGGTCACTTTTGTATTTTGTCAGTGCTCTCAGCCCCAGATGCAGCATGAGGTGGTGTCTACAACCCACACAAGCTGCTCAGGTAGTGCAGCTCATCCAGGATGGCACATCAATACGAGAAGGTTTGCTGTGTCTCTCAGCACGGTGTCCAGAGCCTGGAGGAGATACCAGGAGACAGGCCAGTACACCAGGAGACATGGAGGGGGCCGTAGGGGGGCAACAACCCAGCAGCAGGATGCTACCTCCTCCTCTGTGCAGGAGGACCAGGAGGAGCTCTGCCAGAGCTGCAGGATGATCTCCAGCAGGGCACTAATACGCATGTTTCTGCTCAAACTGTCAGAAACAGACTCCATGAGGTGGTCTGAGGGCCCCACGTCCACCAGTGGGGCTTGTGCTCACAGCCCAACACCGTGCTGGCATTTGCCAGAGAACACCAAGGTTGGCAGATTGGCCATTGGCGCCCTGAGCTCTTCACGGATGAGAGCAGGTTCACACTGAGCACATGTGACAGACGCCGTGGAGAACGTTCTGCTGCCATGATTCCACATCCAGATCTCCATGGTATGATAATATGGATTTACATTGATCATGTTTACGTTATTTTGTTCTCAACGCATTCCACTATGTAATGAATAAAGATTTTCAGCTGGAATATTTCATTCATTGAGATCTAGGATGTGTTGTTTTAGCGTTCCCTTTCATTTTTTTTGAGCAGTGTAGTTACATTTGTTAGGGACTATTTTCAGCAGCGGATGAATCCACACTCAGCGCTCTGGTGGATGTTGTGGCTCCAGTGTGTGTGCTTATTATATCAAAGGAACATGTTGGCTGGATAACATGGTGTCCTGCTCCTTACTGAGGTGGTTTTAGTGGAAACAATGGGGTTGTGAGGAGCAGAACTGTTATATAGTTCAGGTTTACATACATGATATTTGTCAGTAGATCATCATTGTTGGTTTTGTGATCTATTAACAATAAAAATATAGAATCTCATCATCCTTCCAAATAAAGCATCAAGTACAGAACATTTGTGTCTTTAACAATCATTTTTACCATTCACCTGACTCACTACTGTCGTCTTCACCCTCTTTGAATCTTGTCGTGTTGGTATTTTCACATCAACCCTGCTACCCTGTAACACCCAGCTCAGAGTAATACAAACACAAAGTGACAGACACTTCATGTAGAATGCCTTGTGTTTTCATCAGTGATAAATAAAAGGTCTTAACCACATCACAAAACCCATCAAGGTATAAACATACAGTCTTTGTGTTGGAGCCCAGATCTATCAATAAACAGCACAAGGACTATGCGCTAACATCGCCTTCATTCCTGAGCATGGTGGCCTTCTTTTCTTCTTCCAGCCCTACTTGTTTTTGCCGATTAGGTTTCCTACTCGCTGCATGAATCGTCCCAGCTTGTTGTCAGTGCTGCTTTGCGTCTGATAGCCAGAGTCATGCCTGTTCAGCGTAGAGCCTCTGTCTTTGTCTGAGGAGTGCATGCTTGCCACCCCTGTAGACCTATCTGTATGAATAGTTTCAGTGGTGAGCAAATACTCGAACCGACTGTAGGCTTTCTGTTTAGTGGTTTGATACACGGTCACTCCTTTGCCATCCAGAGCGCTCCTGGAGCTTTGTTCCTGCTCTGCTGTCTTCTTTTTGCTCGAACGCTGAGGAGCCAGTCTTTGGAATGGAGATTTATACTTCTCTGTATCTGATGGACCACCAGAAGACCTCTGTGACTTGGGGGTGCTCGGCGGTTGGCCTTTGCTGTTGCTTTGCTCTGCAGCAGCTGCCTGTGAATGGTCCGCCTTTGATCCTGAAGAATTTCTGAACGAGGCCTTTCTTTGGAAGGACTTCTCCTCTTTTTTGGAAGCTTTCTTTTCATCTGAGGTAAGCAGTGACTGTACTTTCATTCTGAGGGAGTTGTTCCTCTTGAGCGGTGGTTCCTCTGGCTGTGTTTGCCCTTTTTCTGTGTGACTGCTCTTAGCCTCACTTGCATGCAGAGATCCTGTAGAAGTCTTTGGAGCAGTTTCGGTTTCCCTGGAAACTGAGTTCTGTCCTTCTTTTGGAGCAGGGGAGCCTATGCTGTTGGTTACCTGACGTATGGACGCTTGGCTTCCTCTGGCTTGATCCTCACACTGCGGATCAGCAGGTAAGCTTGATTTCACAGAGTTCTCCTTTGGAACAGCTTTATCGTCTTTGCAAATCTCCGCACTTCCGTCTTTCAATGATACTGACTCTGACTCTAAACTGTTAACGCGAGTGTTGGAACCCTCTTTCTCTTCAGGGATTTCAGTCAAAGACTCCATTGCTCTTGGGTGCTGGACAATGAGCTTGAGCATCGCATCATTCACTTTTACATCCAAATCAGCAGCTGATGTCGTCCTGGAAAGAGGCTCGTGCCAGTCGTACGTCTGCATCGTCTTTCGATCTGCCACCGTTTTGATATCGTAGTGGGAGGCAGAGCGGTGGCCATCGGTGAGAACTTGCTCTCTTTTGTCACCTTCCTTCTTGGTGTCACTCTCTTTCAGTTTGCAGTTGTCTTGTGCACTCTGCTCTAAGTCTGTCATGCTCTGCCTTGCATCTAGACCTCTCGACGAAGATCTAAACTTAAGTCTGTCGAGAGGAGGATACATGGCTTTCAAGGACTCTTGGCTTTGCCTGAGATTGGCATACTCCTGCAGACTGAGTCTCTTTTGTCTCATTTCTTCCATTCTGGACTTGATGTCCCTGGACCTGCTGTGAATCAGCTGAGACTGATGCTCGTTTAAACCTGTGAGACTGTTGTATGGAGACGTCAACGGGGATATTGCATCACACGACGCGTCCAGCATGTCGCTCTCATTAAGATATGTGTCAATCTTCCACCTGTGGAGCGATGTTTCAGAGTTGAACGGTATCAGGTTCTGGTCCGCACCGTAACGAGTCTGGTGCCTGAGGTGCTGCTGAGACAACCTGTTTGATAGCAGGAAATCCCCACCGCCCCTCAGATTAAGTCCATTCCTCTCAGGAGAAGCTCCAATGTCCTTGGTTCCCATCCTCAGTCGAGTCACTGAGTTGATCTTCTGCAGTTCCCCGCCGTAACTGTGTCCTCTCACCAGGTTCCCCACATCAGCATAGTGAGACTGATGCAGCCTCTCCTGCATGCTCAGGCCTCTGGTCATCATGGTGGTGCTGTTAAACCTGTCGTCCTGAGCACCTCTCATGCCGTGCATCACTCTCGACCTCATGTGAACTTGATTGAGAGAAAGGTGGCTGGAGTTTGGACTCTGCAGGGTCACAGTGTCTCGCTGGTATGGGATGGAAAGATTCTCTTTACACACCAGTGCAGGAACTGTGGAGCGAGCGTAGAGTCTTCTGAACTCCTCGTCGTAGGAGCAAACCAGCTGACCTGTGATAACCAGGACCATGCTCAGGTGTATCTTCTCAAATGACCACGAGTAGCTAAAAAGAAGATGGAGACATGAAGATTAGAAAACAAACATCTTAATGATGAATTGATTTCGGGTGTAGCTAATCATATTTTCATTCAGGTTTTAAATATCTGAATTTTGATGCACTTTATCTGGTGGTCAAACACAACCAGTGATGCAAGTCAGTTAGCAGAAAACACATCACAGGCATCACAAGTCTACGAACCAGAAGTAAAGCTCACTGTTTCTGGATGTATTTTACATTTAGGGAGGGATTTTCTGTCAAAGTAATTTGAGAAGATTCTGTTTACATCCGGCATACACGTGTCATCTGTCTCTGGATGCATTATTTGGACAGCCGCCTTCTATCCACGGGCCACTGCTCTTATTTAAAAGTGTTCTTCTCATAGTTCTTGTGCTCAGATGCCACATAGCTCGGTGGGGCAGGCAGACATGTCAACAACCAGCAGTGTTGTGCAGTCGTCCTCAAATGTATTCATCCCCTTCCATTAAAGAAAAGGCAAAATTCACAATAAAATAAGTAGAAACTGAAAAAAGTAATAATAAATAAAAATTTGTTAAATTATAAGTTAGAGAAATAAGACGTTGCTTTTGAATTGTGGTTGAAAAGAATAATTTAAAAAAAACGAAAATATTGGTTTGGTGTTTTTTTTTGGAATATCTTTGTTGGACCACAATTCAAAAGCAACGTCATGATGTTCATTAAATTCTTATTTATTATTACTTTTGTCAGTTTCAACTTATTTCAGTGACAGCCTTCTTTAATGGGAGGGTGTGAGTACATTAGAGGACGACTGTATACAACAGAAGTGAACCATAACACTTAAATCTAAAATGATTCAACATCACATCGCCTTACAGTAGCTACGTTACTTCTCAGCTGAAAAGTCGGATATTTCTTCATTTGTCAAATCTAAAGATAACAGTTTGCTTAGATTCAAATATTAAATTCTTTCAATACTTTTTAAATTCACGTTTAGTTTTGACAACATAATCGATGCCCCTCAGCATGCAGGGGAAACCAGAGTTCCTCACATTTCAGGAGAACTGTTCTGCCACTGTTCCTTTTGTTTTAGTGGCTTTCTTTCCTTCTTCTTCTTCTTCATTAGAAACTCTTGTTTGATTTTGGCAGCATGCTTTGAGTGATTGTTGTATTGGAATATTTCTCTTCTGCCAAGCTTGGACAGACGGGCCGTCACCTTGTCAGCCGGTATTTTAATATATCTACAGGCTTTTATGATACCATCTATAAATGTCATCTGTCACCTTTTGCACTCGTGCAGCACCTCCGCGCTTCACTACAGAACTATGCATTCACTGTGGTAGACCTGATGCAATGTTGTTCTTTCTGGCTGAGCAATCACATAAATTGCAATGTAGATTGATAGCCCCTGCTCCAGGTCATAAGCAGTTTCTACTTTGGGGCCCTGTAGTTTCAAAATAGTACTTCTACAGGAAGGAGAAAAAGTCTTTACTGTCACAAATGATTACAGCACAATGAAATTCTCTTTTGGTGACATAATTTGACATTTCAGTGATATTATTCAGTGATCTCTTCTGTTGCATCCTGCATTTTTAAATCCGTTTCTTCAAAGGAAGACTTGCAGCGAGTGCTCCGAGGCTTGTTCAGGGCTTGTTTGAACTACCAGGGAGATGCACAGTTAAGCTGCACGCATTTACACCTCGCACTGCACACCAGGTATTGAGTGTGGCTATGGGCAAGTAGACAAGTTGATGCATGGCCCCTATTCTGATTAAATTACTTGGAATACATTTGAATGAGTAAAGGTAAGCCTGACTCACCTGTACGTTCCATACAAAACTGTCCGACAGTCCACCAGAAGAAACTTCTGTTCCAAACCTCCGTGAAACTTCATCCCGGACCGACACTGATACTGCTGCCCTTGAACTGTCCGAACACGAAGGTTCTGATAAAGGAAAACACAATAAACAAACTCAAGCATCTTTCTGAAGTGTGCTAATATATTCACAAATAAAATGAATGAATGCAATGAAGGCTGGAACAGTAAGAAAACTGAATCCCAAAATGTAAAACTCTTTAGTAGACATCTGAAATAACGATTAAAACATGAGCCACATGTGATTTAATGCACAATGACAAACAGTATAATTAAGGAGTCATTTAAAATAGATTTTCAAGTAAATACTGTTGGCTACCTTTGCCATAAATCTTTGGTCATGTCTTCAGCTTTTGAAAAGAAAAGCATCAAAGCAAAAGCTGGAATGTGACATTGCCTGTTTAAAAATCACTCCGACATGTACAGGACATGTTTCAGCTTAATTACACAGATTTACACCGAGATTATTCGCTTGTATTTTTATTGGTTGTGTTGGGTTTGGTTCAACTGGTTTGGCAACTTCCATTAGCTGGGCATCTATTAAAGAAATAGCTACCTAGTTCAGATATTGCCGTGATAAATAGCTATGATAAATGGCCAAAACAGCCCGTGATGCCGAGGCACACAACTGACGATGTGAAGCCTTTTAGCAGCCGTCCGTGCAGAACTCCCAAATCAAAAGTGATGCAACCACGAGGGATTGCAACATCTAGTCCTTTCAATGAACCTACAACAGACGTAAGCACACTATTGTGCAATGTCACTGAAATGTCAGACAATTAAAAATGATATCAACTTGCAGTAATTGCATTCTAAGTTTAATCGTAGAGTTTTTTTAATCAATAGAATTTAGATTTACAGAGACCCCACAGTAGAAATGCAATGCAACACAAGTCAGCAGCCCTTTCATTTGTGTGATTCAAACCTTATTCTGTACTTCGCATGTGGACCTATATTTCTGATGACAGACTCCGCAGCATGGGGCACCACATTTCTGTAGAGATGTTCTGTCATTCTATGTTTTTTTAGCACTCATTCATACACCAATGGCCACAGAGCTGCCATGCAAGGTGCTGCCTACCATCGGGAGCAACTTCGGGTTCAGTGTCTTGCCCAAGGACACTTGGACTGTGGAGGGGCGGAGGATCGAACCACCAACCTTGCGATTGGAGGACAACCCGCTCTGCCATCCTCTTTAAAATACCACGGTAGGTTTTCTCTTGGATTCAAGGCAGGCAACACATTTGTCATTCACTTTGTCATCTCTAGAAACTCTTGTGAAGTTTTGGTGGTGTGATTCGGATCATTCTGCCAAGCTTCTGAAGACCAAGAGTCATCTGGTCAGTCAGTATTTTAACATCATCTGTCACTCAATACTCGAACACTCCAACCTCTGTGCTTCACTATCAGCACGATGCATTCATTGTGGTGGTCCTGATCAGATTCATGCCGGACCTCATCTGAGCCAAACCCATTTAACTGGGTGAAGCACTTCCCTGTCTGTTCACTGTACATGCCATCATTTTAGGAGGATGGCTTCTATCGCTTCTGATTGCTGCTGCACATGTGTTTCAAGTGATGTTCAGTTGGTCCCTGATCATCCTCGGCTTATTCTGACACTCAGTGTTTTTTCATTTCTGCTGAAGTAGCAATAAGACACACTCCCTGACAGGGTTGTATGCTGATGTTATATAAAGTGGGGTGTGCCTGTCTCTGTCTTGGCGTTACGCTGCCTGTTCACCTGACACACTTATTTCTGATCTCGGTTTGTGATTCCACAGCTTGTTTAAATCTCGTGTTTCTGGATCTTGATCTCCTTGTGACCCCTGCCAGACCTCCACACTGCTTACAGCCACGTTTCAGACGCAGGGTGAACATAACAAAACAAGAACTATCTCCAATTCTGCTCTATTTCTAGCTCGGCAACCAAGTGGAAGCAAATCAATGGCAGTGACCACAACAGCTCCTCTGTGCAGGTCAGATTTCCTTGAGTTGTATCTTTCAGTTGATGCTCTAACCATCGGAGGCTTCTTCAACTCATTCAACCTGCAGCCTGCTTGTGCGGAGGTGTATGACTGCGCCTCAAGGGCTTTTATTTAGAGAGACGAACAAGGCAGAGCGGTAGGTTTTGTGTCCATCACCACAAGCTTTCACACAAACGCACAAAAAGGCACACGCACTTTTTGTGATACAGCACCAACATGATGGGACCTGTGTGTCAGTCCTTCTGAGGCTGGTGTTTTGATGTGGCTACTGGCTAAGCACTTTGCACAGAGATCACAAAGACGTGACTGTGCACACTCTGTTGTTTGGTCTGTTTCTGTTGAGACACCGTCCTGATGCTGCTCAACAGGAAAATCCAGACTCGCTAACAGATCTGTCCTACGGCTGCTGCAGTTGTCTCGTATGATAATGACAGGTAGAAATGCAGCAGGGAAATGCTGGTAAATGACAACGGTTTCACAGGGGTGTGGAGCAAATGTCAGACCTAATCCACTAAATGCCCCCGCCAACAGCAGAAAGGTCATGCCACAGGCAAAGCTTTCGCTGAAACACTGAAGGAATACAGAAGCGGAAAGACGTTTGTTTTTTCTCTGTAAATGTCAGAAAGTTACCAAATTAGATCTTATTTAATCAGTCAGCACGCTGCACATTGTCTGGGCTTGTCTGTGGTCCACTGTGGCTTCGTCATGTCTGCATCTTGCTGAACAGACAAGACGGGATCCTTTTTAAACAGCGTGGCCCAATTAGCACTTTCTCAGTTATGAAATCCTCTTGTGCTTGTATTGCTGTTGCTTATTGTTGGACTCTTTCATCCACAATGTGCATCATTCACACCATGCCAGGTACTAAACAGTTAAGTATGAAGAAGTAGTGGTTGCTGTTGTTTGTTTGGTATTAAACTGTGGTTCACTCCCAACAGTTTAATGTGCTTTCAACCATAAACAGCTGCCTACTGGAGTTTTAAAATGTCGTCAACTGTCACCAAACACAGTGCTTTGTATTCAAATCATTTTGCCAAATAAACATTGTCTCAGTTTGTCTGCTGTGCCTGGAAACAGGAAAACTCCCCGTGGAAGAGGTGCGACCAGAAACCCAACACAATGACAGCAGTGTGAAGCTGTCGGGTGGAAAGTAGTGGATTGGAGACGTGATGACGTAGAAGTATTAAAATAAAACAGTGTGTGTCGTAGTTTGCAAGTGATGACAACTATCAGCTGAGCACTTTTCACTTTGAAAACTTGTAATGTTAATTCAAATTGTTCTCACTCTGCTTCCCAACATCTTTGCGAGTTTAGCGCGTAAGAATTGGTTCGTTATGTTGCTCCAATCGGCGGCGGTGGAGCAGCGGTTAGCACCATCACCCCAAAACAAAAGGGTTCTGGATGTGAACTGTCTGTGTGGATTTTCCTCCCACCGTCCAGAGACATGCACTATTAGGTTAAATTCTAAGTTGTGAATTTGATCATTAATGGTTGTCTGCCTCTTTGCATTAGCCATGACAGACTGGAGTGTCCCAGACTCCAGCCCTGCTGCAACCCTCTACAGCAGGG